CTGACCCTGGAGGGTCAGGACCACCCCCACAGGCTATTTAGGCCAGAAAAAGGAACACATAGTCTTTGGGTGTTGTATGTGTTCTCCCTGTATCCCCCCCATGCTCTGGATCACCCGAGAGTGCTGCAGTCATTAAACATGGGCATCTTTGATTTGGTCCAATCTGAGTTATTTTGCATCAGCAGAGAGGCCTATTTTAAGATTTCCTATCGGAGCTTTCCCACGGAAACGGTTTGCATTTTCCCTGAGGGACCAGGGCCATGTGCCAGAAAAAGCCCCTCATTCACTCTCCACCAGGCAAGATCGGGTTCAGGTGACTTCCCCTTTTAAAGTTCCCGGGGTGACCCATTTGCTTTTCAGGCTTTCTGCTCAAGTTGTAGCCTGCACTGGAAGCCTGACCCACACTGACTTCACACTGAGGTGAAGATTGCATGCAGGGATGCCTGCCATTCAATTTTCACAGCCCCATTTTTGGCTCAGGGTCTGTCCCAGTGGATGCACGATGACAGACTTGAGTCACACAGGCATGTGCTTCTAATGGGTTGCTTGCGATTCCAAGCTGATTCCTAAAACACCTTTTGATGGCCTTTTACAAAAATCCTTTAAAATTGGGTTTAACATTTTAAGTAAACAAGACTCCAAAAGCCCGCGGTTTAGGCTACGCTCCCCTGCTCTCCCCTCTCCTGCTGTTTGCCTCATTCTGCTAAACTACACCAGGGTTTTTAAGTTGGTCAGCTGACACAGGTTCCCAAGAGCTTCGTCTGTCCATACGAATGATGTGGTCACAGTATGTCTCTGTGTGTAAATGTGTTTTCATGATGTGGATTTATGTTTCTGTGTGCTCATGTGCTCATTTTAAGATAACTCCAGACTGTGACAGCTCTGGAAAAATCCAAACACGTGGGTAGCTGCTATTTTGACCTCAGCACCATCTTTGGGCAAAAGTAACACATGTGCTATAATTCTTTGGCTCATTAAAATATTCCTTTTAATCTTCTTACATTACTACCATTGGTAAGCTAACCTATTGGATAGAATACACGCCTAAATTTAGCTTGTATGTCCAACTTAAAATAACAGGAAATGGTACCTAATTCTCAAGTGCCTTTACAGATCTGAGAATACGGCATTTAACAAAAGAGCTTCTAACACAGACATGCCAGCCTTTGCAGCACCCTTTAGCTCCTCCAAGACAGAAAACCTTCCACATCCTGGCCTTGCCTTTGGGTTTGGTAAACCCACCCACATAGCAAAAAGTGGCCTTTCACCTCTTCAGCTTCCTGCATTGATCTTCTCATTCTGCCGAGACAGGTAGACTAAATCTTCCCCACATAGGAAAAATCTTAGGGCCTCTTGTATTCAGCAGCAAGCACTGCTTCTAAGACTGGTGTTCTCTAAGGACTAAGGGAAGGATTTGGGATTGCCTGCACAGCTAAAAAGCTGTCTCATTTTTGCTAATTTAGGTACTATTAACTTATTACTTCATCCATGACATTTAATGAAGTTTCCTGCTAAAATACAGACAGGTGTGCCTCTTTAACAAGCTTCAGTCAGGATTAACAGGTTTCATGTGTATCCTAAAAGCAATAGCCTCTTCCAGTTTTCTTACAGGTTCTGGGAAAAGTCTTGCCATGCTAACCCCAGCCAGTCTCAAATATATTTTACAGGTCACTCCTGCTGCCTGGGCCAAGAACAACTTATAAAGCACTCTCCAGACAACGCCAACAATCTACACCAGCTACTGGGACTTCACCATTGGTATCTGCTACTGTGTCCCATCCCAAGGCTAGCCCCATTTCACAAGGCCAATAGTCACCTGCCTTCTCATCTCCCTCAAAAAGCAGCTGCCTGAGGACTCCAGGATGACCGTATACTGGATGCCATTCTACCCATACCTCTTGCTGAGTGTGAGTGCACCAACTCCCAGGTCCCCCTCTCCCACGTTGCCCCATGCCTGCAGGAAGTAGCCAGACTTGAGCCAACACCTCTATATCCAAGGACTCTGGGATGTTTGATTGAAAGTGAGACCCCAACCCCCTCACATCCCTATATCCAAGGAGATGATTGAAAGCATCACCCTAGTGTCATCTATTCTAGGAGCACCAATGGAGCACAATGCTACATCTCAAATACTCTCCCCCTGGGAGTTGCCTCTGGCTGGACTCTACTTCCCAGAAAGCCTGCCAAGCGCTGACCCCAAGGAGGGTTAGGACCACTCCCACAGGTTAGGCTGGAAAAAGAAAAACATAACCAATCTTTGGGTTTGGCATGGTCTGTCTTTCCCCTGCCATGCTCCCCAGGAACACTGCATTCATTAAATGTGGGAATCTTTGATTTGGTCTAATCTGTTCTAATTGAAGTTATTTTGTGTCGGTGGAGAGGCTCATCTTAAGATTATACTTAACACCTTGTTCTTTAGTTTTTTGAGACAGGGATTTATCTGTACTGTAGCCCTGGGTGGCCTCAAACTCAGAGATCCTATCTCTACCTCCCAAGTACTGGGATTAAAAGTGTGCCACCTGTCAGGCAACGCCTTTCTTTACAAGGTCTTGCTATGTAGCCGGTGCTGGCCTTGATTTCTACCATTTCTTTCTCAAGTCTTTGTCCCCTGTACATCACTGAGCCCAAACCCTGGGCAACCTTCCCGTCCTTGGCCTGGTCCAGCCTGGCACTCTTGTCACAAGTCCTGTCAGTCAAGGAGATCACCTCCAAGCTCTTATGTGGACAAGAACAACCCTCAGGCTGGAGGCAGGCTCAGTGACTGTGTCCTTGCTCTTGTTCATGCTGCAAACTATAGAGTTCACCTCTAGCACTGTAAACATCAAAACCCCCAAAATAATCACTTCTCTCCATTCTCTCATAAACCCTCAAGTTTGTGAAGAGGAAATTAGGAAATTGTAAATGAAGGGAAAGCAGGAAACAAAGCAGTTTCCCCAGACACTAATGATTAAACATGTCCTGAATTTCAAAAACCACCCAAGAGCTTATGTGCCCACAACCAAAGTCAGCAAAGGGTACCTAGTGGGCCCTGCTGATGTTCTCAGAATGTTAAGAAAGCTGTTTTAGCAGTGACTACTTTTCACATTCTTGTCACAATTGTTGCTTTTAAGTGAATACTTCGTGAATCCCCACAGGAATACCCCCAAATCTACTACAGGAAAGTTTGTTGTTTTTCTTTTGGGAGAAAGGTCTTGCATGTTACAGTCAAGCGTTCTCTCCCTTCTCTGCAGAGGCATACAACTCTGGTGGTTTCATGAAGACACCGATGGTTCTTGAGGCAGTCAGTAGCTGGCTTTGCAGGTTCCCAGCAGGAATTTAGTGTTTTCTGGATTCACTTGAAATTAGTAAATCAAGGGAAAGACACACAGACAAGTTTCTTTCACTGATTTTTATTTTATATATGTATTTTTTGAAACAAGGTCTCCTTAAGTATCTTCAGCTGGTCTGGAACGCCCTCTTTAAAGACCAGGCTCTGTCTCCAGAGTGCTGGGATTCAATGTGTATGCTATCATGTCTAGCCGCAACTGGACGATTACTGAAATGGACAGTCTCTTCTGCTCCTCCGTCCTGGCTATGTAGTGTCACTATGTGCATGGGAGACACACCCAGACTGTGTAAATAGTTCTACTGACTTTTCTGCCCTTCTGTGGAGATAGGGGAATCTGCCTTCTGCCTCCTACCGTACCCTCTCTGTACGAAGTGTCTACACCTCACTTACCTACACCATAGCCCTTTGCCCCTGGCCCTCTGCTGATTTTCTCACTGAGTCACCGCTCCACTGCCCTCTAGAGGATAGCCCTTTAATTTCTACTTCTCACAGAGGATCTTCCTCACCATTAGCCGTGATCTTTACTTCACCAAAACAAACAAACAAATAAATAAGACATATTGTGAGGCATGAGCCTGCTGTTTCTTCCCCACCTGAAAAATCACTGGTTTTAGCTATTCTTTATGGCTGAGTCACAGAAGCTGGCATCTATCTACTGTCCTTTTTCACTGACTATTTTCTCTTCCCTGTTGTCTCTTTCCTCTTAGACCTGGAGAAACACAAACCGTATGCTACAGAAAACCCATCACATTACTACTCCTATGGACACTCTCAGGCCGTATCCTGTTCACCTGGGTACTGGACCTCAAGGAGGACTTCTACATTTGTATCTACCTGCTGTGACTCCACTCCCAGTCTTAGTTCAGACTAAGTATGGCAATGAAGATGCTGGTCTGTCATGGCTGTTAAGGGCTGGCAAAGTAGGTCAACCATAACCATCAGGCTTCAGCACTGAACAAAGAAAATAGTCATTTCCATCGTTTTCTCCTGAAGATTTGAATGTGATATGCCAAGCAGCTCAAAACACCCTTCTGAACCATTCAGCTTAGGTGACACCATTTCTTGAGGAGTTTTCAAAGCAGAGATTTACTAGCACCATGCAACAACGTGCAACATCTTAAGAAACATTTGGGAAGACTTGGTACTCACTCAGTATTTGCTGTGTGGTATGGTGATAAGTACTTGAAATATATTTTTATACCTTCTGTACACATGGCATACTGATTCCCTTTCACAGCTAACAGTCTGCTACAGAGACTGAGCACAAAGAGAGCCAGTTACAGCTAAGAAAAGAGGGAAAGGTGGTCAAATTGGCGTTTAGTGACTAAAGCCACCCCAGCATTTAAAAAAAAAAAAAAACTTGCCCGTATCTCTAACTTGTAAATAAGTCACTGCCAACAACACTAAGAATCCAATGCTCAAGACTTGTTAACAGTCATGAATTTCTGGCGTGAAAAGAGACTGCACCTGATGTCTGCCTGTACTGGGGCTACTGAAGGCCAGGGGTTGGGGCGGGGGATGGAGGGGCCTTCTCTTTCCCCATAACCAAGGTCTCAACAGAATACTCAGAGTCACCCAGAGCATCCATCTGTGACTACTAACAGCTACAGTAGAGTCAAAGTCAGCAGGCATGCTATGTGGAACGACTACACCGTACTGAACAGCACCGTTACCTGGTAACACAGTGACACAATTTAATGATTCTAAGAATTTTTTTTGTAATTCTTTTTACAAGTCAGGTGCCATAAACATTCAAATAATCTCTCTTAAAAAGCACGTTTACAACATCAAAAGAATTAAGATGAAATATAAATTTCTTACAATTTTTATACACATTAACCAAATCACATAAATCACAGATAAATGCTCAAGTTTAACAATATAATGAAACAACATTTAGATTCTTAATAAAATCTTCCTTCAACATTTATTTTTTTTAAACTTACCATTATCCTAAATAATCTATGCATTTTGGGATACAATACCAAAAATGTACCAACAGTACAAAGCAGATACAAAGCAGTGTAAGAACTTCTGGAGTGTTCTGCAGGGATAAATGGCACAAAAGGGCAACAAGCTTTAGGTAAACCTGAAGCAACCCTAGAGACTCTGATCCTGCCGTTGTTGATCCACTATGTCAAGCTGGACACTGTATGAGAAGTCACACTGACTCCCCTCTTTCACGTTTCTCTTCTGGGTCTTAGGTACCATATTCACACAGTAGCACAACAATTTTAAAGCTCAAATGCTTTAAAAATGCGTAAGCAAAAGAACTGCTCAGATTTTCAAAACCATTATTACATTTACAAAAATATTTCCCTTAAACTTGGGATTGTTCCAAAACACTGATTTACAAATATAAAAGAATTATGATGGACCCAAAGCATATGCATATGAGTTTGTGTATTAACATACCATTACCATACTATGTAAGTCACCAAAAATTCAAATGTAACTATTAATATTAACATAAGTGTTATAAGCAGATGAAACTCCCCTAAGTGGTCTGAACACTATGTGGCATGCAGTGTGGATGGTCGACCTTTGTGATCCCTCAGAGACATCTGCTGTTAGTGCACAGCTTGTCAAAGCTAACGGTCACCTCCACCCCACTGTGCTATCCCACTCACAGGAGCAGGAATGAGGTGAGCGAGCACACATGCACACACACCATTCTTTACTGAGAGGCCTCAATGTAGGTCAGTGTTGGCTCAACACTGGGCAGAATGCTCATAATCTGTCTTGGATTGTTGGGCAGGTGTCTTCTTCAACTAACTAAAAGGAGCATAATTTTCTCACCAGTGTTCTGCTCAAATTTTCAGACATGGAAAAACCCACCACCTGATAGCTTATCTGTGTATATACATAATGGAGGCGCTCAATGTCACCAGTGTATCTTGGAAATGTGAGAAGAACCAAAGTCATGAGTGTGACCATACGTGATAGCTGTCACAGTTACAGAGGCTACATGGCCTCGGGTGTGTCACATGCCATGCACATAACGAAAGCTATCCTAGTTGTGGTACAGCGAGTGACTGTAGGATGCAGTGAGTCGTTTCAGGCTAATCTCACCCCACAGTACCAGGAATGGGAGCGCAGACAGCTTAGTCTAGAAGGTGAGGTTATGGTTTCCTTATTTAGAAGATTGCAAATTAAAGTAAAACCTCCCTTAGAAATATAAAGAAGAAATAAGTAGGAAAACTGTCAATGCTTTAAAAAAGAAAAAAGAACAATGAAAACTCACTACTAGTGTATTATTAGAGCTGAGTGGACTTCATGTGTGGAAGTGAAAGGCAGGTACTTAGGGCAAGAATTGAGATCTGGTTTGTGAGGAGGAGTCAGCCATGCTGCAGGCAGGTGAGGTGTGTGTCACTTTGAACCTTGCAGCAGGTACCATGGGCTCTGAGCAGCCCTTCTCATAGCTCTAGGGTCACACAGGCAGGAAGGCCCTTTTCAGAAGGAACCAGATTCCAGCCTGCTTTGTTTGGACTATGTCAGAATCATTTGTTGTCCAGAGAATGAGGAGAGGACCTTTCTTTTACTTGCTTTTTTGAGGCTGGGCCTATGTAGTCCCGAACTTTGCTATGTAAACCAGGCTGGCCTCCAATACAGACAGCCACCTGCCTCTGCCTTCTGAGGGCTGGGACTAAAGGTGTGCACCATCACACTTGGCAGAGGACCTAAGCCATCTTATATAAACAGCTGTGTGGGGCAGTGCAGGGAGGAGGTGGGTGGAGGAGTGGAATGAGGCCCAGGAACATTTCTGTCTGAAGCACAAATTGATTATGACTATCCACTTAACACACACCGATCCAGAGGAAATCAACACTGAATCGTATCATCGGTGTAAAGATAAAAAGATGTACATTTATTTCCATGAGTTACAAGTGCATTGCTGTTCATACTAGCAGGCAGTCTATATAGAATCCATTCTCCATTGCTGTCAAAAAACAAGGGAGAAAAACAACAAAGACAGCTGAGAAATGAAAACCTAACACTAGAATTATCTTTCCTAAGTTATCCTCTGGGTAGCAGTCTCTCTGTGGAAACAACTCAGAGGTCACAATAGATTTTGCTCAATCATAGGCTGTGACACTTAGACAGTGATCTCTGCACAGAAAGCCTTAACAGTCATGCAAGGGCACAGTAAGTATGGAACAAGGCAAACTTCTCACCAGAGAGCAGTGAGGGGGTCAGGAGGCACTGCACTGAGATAACACCATCAACTCCACAGCACACAGCGCAGGAACAGAATAGAGGCAATCAGTAAAGAGAGAGCTCGAACAGTTGCTGCTAGTTTTTTATGACATTAACTCAGCAGTACCAGAAACACCTCAACTTGGCAACAGAACAGAGCCTCATGATGAGAGCTCATGAAGGCTTTATTACAAGTCATTATACTGCTGGAAAGTGGGCTGGAGATGCTGACATGCTGTAAGAGAAGAACTGTACACTTTCTCATTTAAAGACGCAGCGTTCCTCTTAGCTAAATCCCAAGGCAGTGAATGTGGTTACGCAAACAGCCTTCTGTGTGAAATAGCTCAAGGTATATATGGAGCTCCTCCCTGAACATCTAGGTCAGCTTGCTCTCTACTTCACCAGAAACTTCTAAAGCTCAGTGCTTATACATCTTGCAGCAAATGACAAGCACAGCTGTTACTTTAAATCTCTGGTTAAGGACAGCACCTAACATGTTGGCAAGTGTACCTTGATTACAGTACAAGAAAACCTGCAGAATAACATTGCCAGTGCAAGGCTTCCTTTCTAGAACAATGATCAATTTTTTAGAAGCTGCGTAAATAGCACATACCTTAAATATGGAACTAACATGATACACAGAAAAATGCCCCCAAAGGACTCCCATGACAGAAGCACATGCCCCTGCAGCCTGCAATACCATCCAGGGATGTCCACAAGCTCCTGCTCTGGGTAGACAGTTACTAGTCAACCGATGAAGTGCAAATTTTGAGCTGTCAATGACTTAAAGTGCCTTATGTAATAGCATTCTTTACTGTAAAGCGAGAGCCAGTGACTGGGGCCAGTTTGGAAAGACTCTCGCTCTGGTGAGGCTGCATGGTTCAGCAGGATGATATGTAAAGGATTCAGGAGAGGAGGAACCACTGCATCTTTCAAACCAGAAAGCAGTTAGTGACTAAGCAACAGTATGCAGTAAGTGCACTCAATGTGCACACTGCTGCAGGGCACTGGTGCCACCAGGAAGCATCTCTGGACGAAGGGATTCTGTGAAAGTATAAAAGCCACTACTACCAGAAACTGCCCCTCCAAGCGGCTCAAAGGAGTCAGAGTGGGTAAGCTGAGACGGGCTGGAGACAGGACCAGGGGTCAAGAACTGGGAGGAACACCGACATCTGAGCACGTCCAGTCCTCTGAGCCCTTGTCCTGTAAAAAAAAGACAAACTCAGGAGTAAGGATTGAGCCATGTCACAATAACAGTAACAGTACAAAACAGCAAGGTAAAATGCAATGGGAATAAAGAGCCTTAAAAAGGTCACATACATGACATCTCTAACATGCGGGTCCTGAAGGCTGGAACGTGGCCTCATTTCACAGCCGTCTTTCTCAGACACTCCCCGCCCCCGCCAACCAGACGGTTTCTCTGTAACTTTGGTGCCTATCCTGGAACTCGCTCTTTAGACCAGGCTGGCCTCTGACTCAGAGATCCACCTACCTCTACCTCCTGAGTGCTGGGATTAAAGGCATGTACCACCACTGGCCGATTTTTCAGACAATGTTTAAGAGTTTAATTAGTACAGTGTGTTGGTCTGAATGAAAACGTCCCTCCATATGGGGGTGGTGTTACCACAAAGTGTGGCCTTGTGGGAGGAAGTGTGTTACTTGAGGTGGGCTTTGAGGTCTCAGAAGCTCAAGTCAGGCCTAGTGGCTCAGTCTCTCTTCCTGCTGCCTGCCAATGTGGATGCAGAACTCAGCTACCTCTCCAGCACGATGTCTTCCTGTATACTGCCATGCTGATAACCAGCCCCAACTAAATGTTTTCCTTTATAAGCATTGTCAATCATGGTATCTCTTCACAGCAATAGAAACGCTAAGAAAAGTAGTGACTAAGGGAAGACACATGCCCACATTTAATCATACTCACAGCATTGTTGGCTTCCCCAAATACCCTTCATTAACAATGTAGCACCCTCCACTCCAACAGCCAAACATCAGAGTTTAAAGGATCTTTATAAAATATTGCCTCTCTACTGAAAAGACCTTCCTATCTTAGAAAGTTCCCTTTCTGCTAGATGAATAGGCAGGACAGTCACCTATGCTTGCAATGGGACGCTGGGGTTGCTAGTGCCCAAGTTTTGTCTTACTGAGAACAAACTAAGCCCTGATGGGCAGTGAGAGCAGTAGCCTGGGATACTGAAAGGTAAGAAGCTGTAGCTGGTCTCCATGCTAGAAGGTGAAATGAAGCACTCAGGTCAACGGCTTGTCATCTATCTTCTGGTCAACAAAACATCCATCTGTCTGTGCTCAGCAAGACACCTCTCCCTCCCCTCCAGCAGCCTGCATACGGCCGGTCATCTGCAATGTCACTATAGAAAAAACACAAGTCATATCTCTTTTTACTTTTCTGAAGTATGTTTTTACTTGGGAGACACCATACACCAATCTACTCTCACCATAATGCAGTCCAGTGACTGAGTCAGGGCCCCCAAAGCCCTGTGTATTAGGAGTTCTTGGAGGGCTTGTTCAAGTTCACACTACTGGGGGTACACATGGCCGACACTCAGGCTGCCAGAGTACTCACTGCACAGAACAGGTCAGCCTCGTTAGTACCCATCATTTTGTACTATCTCTGAGAAGAGAAAGCGCTGCCATGTAAGTCCTATGTTGTATCCGATTCTGAAAAGGAAATCTAGTTGGGCTGGTATAGTGACCAAGTGCTTCTAATATTAGGAAGATATTCTCTTTGGAATTTTACTGACTTGATAAACTAGCACAAAGATCTGGCGGTGTTGCTTTGATAGGCCGCAAGCAACTTCAGGGATATGGCTTTCACCTGCCACTCAAGAGACAGGGTGGAGGCCAGATGTGTGGTGGCACATGCCTTTAATCCCAGCACTCAGGAGGCAGGGCCAGTGTTTTTCTGAGTTTGATGCCAGTCTGATCTACAGAGTGATTTCAAGGTTAGCTAGGGACACACAGAGAAATCCTGTCCCCCCCCCCCCCCAGTCAGGGTGGGAAGGATGTGTGCCATAGGTCAACTAGGCTGACAGCACTCCCTATCCTCAGCTTGGAGCTTGTCTGAGCTCAAAAACATTTCTTCATACTGTTGTCAAGTTCTTAGATCTATGACTAAGACTGAGGAGTATGATCACATGCAAAATGAACCTGAGAGGACCTGTCTGTCAGCATACACTTTCAGTGCTACCTTCTGGATTTTTACTTTTTTTAACTTAAAAAAATTATCATTTATTTTATGTGTATGGGTGTTTTATGTGTGTGTACAGTGACCATGGAGCCTGCAAGAGGGAGGAGGATCCCCTGGAACTGGAGTTACAGGTGGTTGTGACCACCATGTGGATGCCATTCCTTTGGCCCCTTATTTTAATGTTAAAGGAATAAACTGTAAGTCAGTATAGACGGCAATTTCTCCTTGAAATGTATGAAATAAATGAGATGGGTTAATAGGTAGATGGCGGAAGAGACAGACTGGTAAGAGGAGAAAATGAGCGCAGTCAAACGTCCATGGCACCTGGTGGTGGGATATGGATATGAGTATTTGATGGAGGAAGGTCATTGGCTAATAAAGGAACTGCCTTGGCCCATTTTATTGGTTTGAAGATAGGTGGGAGGAGTAAACAGAACAGAACGCTGGGAGGAAGAGGAAGTGAGCTCAGACTCCACAGCTCTCTCCTAGGGAGCAGAGAGCCTGAGAGAGACGCCATGCCCCGCTCCCAGGCAGACGCATGCTACGAAGCTCCGACCCAGGATGGACATAGGCTAGAATCTTCCCAGTAAGACCGGTGCTACAGTTTATTAGAAATGGGTTGATGGGGATATCAGAATTAGCCAGAGTAAGGGCTAGATAGAAATGGGCCAAGCAGTGATTAAATGAATACAGTTTGTGTGTTGTTATTTTGGAGCATAAGCTAGCCAGGCAGCCGGGGTGCTGGGGATGCAGCCCCACTGCTCATATTACTACAAGTATTTACTTAATTTTTTTTTTTTAATTCTCCAGAATAGTTGAAAATTGTCACTGAAAGCACTGGGAAAATACCAAGCTTTAAGCATATATGGTTCTCCAGCACTAAACTGCTGTAATAGTATTATTGGTTTCTTGTCAACACCACCTTGTCTGCAGTGGCCACGGACAGGACTGTTTGCCGAAGGCTATCATCAGCTCCTTTCATGCTGCTTCTCTAAGTCTTTTCCCTTGTTAGTACTTCAGTCCCATCTAGAATGCTTTACCTCACTGTTTTACATTCTAACACAAATTCTATTTTCTCTCATTTTACCATATTCTCCCTTAAATACCTAAGTTCATGAAGTTCAGTCTAGGAACACACAGATCCTTCTGAGAGATCAGTCTAGACTTTGCCTCAAGAAAGCTTTTCTCAGTTTCTCTAGCCCATAGTCCATGTGTAAACCAGTAACAGTGGTATCTGGCACAGTGACATTTATGGATCAGGTCCATCAGGAGACTCTCTAGCTTAAGTACTTGGGCGTTTTTTTTTGGATTTGTTTCATCTGGGGAGACAATTGGAAAACTCAAACATTGTGGATTACTTCTTCTGCAGCTGTACTTTATTCAAGAGGGACTCTGCCCAAGAACACAGAACAAACAAGAACTGCAGGATGAACAGAGCTGCCAACAAGGCTCATTCATCCCCTTGAGTACAGACAAGAGGGACAAGTAATCCCTAATAAAACTTGGTACTGTGGTGATGGTGTGATGGAGAGGATGGGAAGGAACATGACTCCTAATGAGTAAATCAACTTTAAAATAATCTTTAGTTCTAATTTAAAGGATTATGGAAAAGAATACAAAATGATGGACTACCTTGAGTTATAAGACAGAAGATGGAGGGACAGCTAGAGACCCGACTGCTACTATGAACACACAAAAGCTTAACAAGAGACCCCTCCTCTCTTTGAAAGCAGTGGAACCACTCATGCTTTCTAGCCAGCACAAGAAGTACTGTGCACTGCACGTTCCGATCCCCAACTGAATCCTTCAAAACATGAAGCCACAGCATCACAGCATGAAATCCATTTCCTTCCTTTTTTTTTTTTTTTCAATTGAGACAGGGTTTCTCTGTGAAACATTTCTCGCTATCCTGGAACTCACTTCGTAGACCAAAGTCACAGGGATCCACCTGCCTCTGCGTCTCAAGTGCTGGGATTAAAGGTGTGCACCACCACTGCCCAGTTATGGGACTGTTTATTACTTTTTCTCTCTTCCCACGCTGTGCTCCTCTTTCCTTCCTTTCCTCGATGTCTTCTGCACAGTCTCCATGATCCTCCCCTTACACACTCACTGTTTTCCTAGTTTGCTTAATTCCTACATGTAATTCTCTTTATCAGTGTGTGTCATGAATGGCTCCCATTTAGTTACAGTGTTTAGTGAATAAAATTTTATCTTTTCAAATCTTTATTTTTAAATGTATTTTATTATATATTAATTATACATAATAATGGGTTTCACTGAAATTTTCATACATGATAATGTATTTTGAGCATATTCATCCATTATCCTTTAACCCCCTTTGCCTCTTCTCAAGTCTTAGAAGTGTAGCTCAGTGGTACACTTGCTTAGCATGCATGAGGCCTTGGATCCAATCCTTAACACCACAACCAACCAACCAACCAACCAACCAACCAACCAACCAACCACATGGTCCCAAGGCCATGAAAGTTACACAATAGAATTTCTGAACATTTAAAATGTCATATAAAGTAAAATAAGGTTTTTCAGGAGTAAATGCCTCAAAGCTATTCCTTCCCGAGTAATGTTCTCACATATATCCCACCCCCACAATATACATCACTGTCATAGTGTCTAAGAGCTGCCACTTTATTTCATGTCCTCATATCTGTGAAAGATGAAGTCTAATTTCTTCATTTCACACCATGAAGCAATCAGAAGGAAAGCTCTATCAATCCAAGGGAAAAACAACTGAATTCCTTTTTCCTTCTAAAGATGTTTTTAACTTGTACCATCTCTCCCTTGCTAGGGGGTTAACTGTATAGTTAAAGTTCTAGATACCTGACCAATTTAAGATCTGTATCCTGGCTGGAATCTAGCAGTCTCTTCAAAAATGAGTTCTTTGAGCTTCTCCTTCGGTAAGTCATCCAATTCCATGTCAAACTTGAATGGTGCTTCAGCAATGGGCTTTAAGACAAAAACAATATTTACTAGTCACACATTGTCATGGTCAAGGCAGTGATTTACTGGCTTAAATTCTGAAATTTATACAATAGGATCAATGCCTCACAAAATCTGAAAAGTTCTGGGGCTTAGTGTGCAGCTAAGTGGTAGCATGTGCGAAGTTCTGCACACAGAAAGAGGGGGCATAACCATGGTTATTTTGAGAATTTCTTGAACTTATCACATCCCCTAGGATTTTCAAATGTTTTAAAGGTACTAAATATCTCAGTAACAAAAGTAGAGGTGTGGTTTTATATAAACAAAAACAAAACTAGCAAGAGGACTGTTGAATGTGAGATCAGCCTGGAAAACTTAGCAAGAACTTGTCTTACAGCAAAAAGAGTTGGGCATGTAAGCTCAGGGTAGATCACTTGAGACCTGGATTCAATGCCTAGTACCACAAAACAAAAATGTTACACTAAGACAAATACATTTGAATTATATGAAGATTAGTATTGTGGAGAAATACCCATGTCTATATAAGTAAATGCACCCTACTTTACTCACCAATGTATATAAAATAAAAATAATTAAAAAATTAGATACAGAAAAATATAAAACTGGGCAGGAAATATTTTCTTCATCCTAACTTAAAGACTTTTTGACACAGTTTTACTTTATGTCAAGTTTGGTTTTACATTTATAATTTTCTTGCCCTAGCCCCCTAAAAACTTTGATTATAAGTGCTAGCCACCTGAGACAGGAACTCATGTATCCCAAATTGGCCTCAAATCCTCTATGAAGCCTTTCACTTTTGATTTTCACACCTCCAGAGCACTGGGATTAGAGCATACATGACCATCATGCTCTTTTATGCATGGCTGGGGACTGATACCAGAACTACATTCATGACAGGCGAGAACAAGATCAAGTGAACAATACCCTCGCACCATATTTGATTTCTTGAAAAAACATTTTTCATTGGAGCTTGGAATAGACATTTAACTGCATTTACTCACTGAACCATCTTGCTGGCCCCATTTTTTTTTTTTTTTTAAAGACAGAGTTACTCTGTGTAGCCTGGCTGTTTTCAAACGCAGAACTCAAGTCCGTCTCTGACTCCCAAGTTCTGGGATTTAAGTCATGTGCCACCACCACTTGACCCATATTTTTATTTTAAATGCCTACAACCAAAATCAAAATATTACAGGACTATATGACAGACAATGATGTCAGCTATCAATCAGTATTTACCTAGACCTCCAGATCTTCTGTAGTACTTAATCCTCATACATGGTCATAAATACTGTATATTTTGCCCATGTGAAAAGAATTCCCATCCTCAAGAGAACATCTGTCCCTCAAGGACAGTGAGTGTGCAGGACCACACAAAGCATCCTATGCATGTCATGTACTGCCTCAGTTTGTTTGAGGATAACACTAGCACTTTAGGAAATAAATACCCAGTTCAAGGAAATGAGGAGAGTCTGAGCTCTCTGAGATCCCACTGACTTCTTTGTCATCACACTGTAGCTATGCTGCAAGCTGCCTCAAGTGCTTGAAGGGTGGTCTTGGATGTGGAAGGGAACATCACTTAAAAAAGACATTTTGTGTTGTGTTGTGAATAGGAATGGCCTCCACAGACTCATGTGTTTGAATGCTTGGCAGTATTATTAGAACGCATGGCCTTTTTTGGAGGAAGTGTGTCACTGTAGAGGTGGGCTTTGAGGTCTCAGATGCTCAAGTATGGGACACAGTTCACTTCAGCTGCCTGCAGATCAAGAAGCAGACAGAATTCTCATCTCCTCTAGCACCATGTCTGTATGCCGCCAAGTCCCACCATGATGGTAATAAACTGAACCTCTGAAACTGTACATCAGCCCAATTAAATTTTTTCCATTATATGAGTTGCTGACATTATGGTGTCTCTTCACAGCAATAAAACCCTAAGACATCTTTATTTCTACATTCTTTCATTTTATCACTTTTAGCTATGTTTGTCTTTTGCATCTTAATTTGAATGCTCTACTTGCTTTTTCCTACATTAAGAACAGGTTGTGTTTTCTATGCATAGAAGTCCCCAAGTAGAAAAACCTAAAATTTTAATTCACTTTGTATCTTCTTTTGTTATTCTTGAATGAACAAAGCTTAAACTGGAGCTGGCCAGGGGATCCAGAGAAGCAAGGCACTGGGTCTGCTCTGGAGAAAGCATGGTATAAAGTACACGAGTCTGTTCTCAGGAGCTATCACATCTACCTCTGTATTCATTGGAATGGCACAATGGGAACAGTCATGAGGTCAGTGTGAGTCACTGGCTAACTAACTCTACTTGCTGTCACAACAGAAGACTGCCTATCTCTTCACCCTCAACCCTCAGGACATAATTCATCTATGTCTTTCTGCCACAAGCCATTCCAATTTTAGCTGTGGGAAGCATAGGCTCATGCTTGAATACTTAGTCCTCAGTTGGTGGAACTATCTGGGAAGGATTAGAAGCTGTGGCCTTGTTGGAGGAGGTGTGTCAAGGGCTTTGAGGTTTCAGAAGGCTTTTGAGTTACCTCCCTCTGCTTTGTGCTTTTGTCTCAAGATGAGAGCGCTCACTCTAGTGTTTTGTCTGCCTGTTGCTGTGCCCCTGCCAAGATGATCACGGACTCTAACCTTTGGAACTATGAGCCCCAAATGAAACACTTTCATTTGTAAGCTGTCTTGGTCCCACCGTCCTCTTTCCATGTTCCACAGTGGTGCAGCCGCCGTCCTCTACATGCAATGCTTTACCCGCTGTGCCTGACAGCCTCAGAGAGAAAAGGTGGGCATGGCATTGTGTTCCTCGGAAAATTTTGACAAGGGCACGGCTAAAGCTTCTGCTGACTACTAAACAAACATCTCTGATGCATCAGCCAGGAGCATGGGCTCTTACCTCATCACTTGGGTCATAATACTGCTCCAGGTATGGGTGAGCCAGAGCCTGTTCAACTTCAATCCTCTTGTGAGGGTTAAATGTCAACATTTTATCCAGTAAGTCCAGAGCTACAAAGAGAAAAGATTTTACAGTGGTGAGAAGCAGAGCTCATTAGCAAATGTTTTCCATCTTCTATTAAGCTGACCCTTAAGACAGTGGGGTATCACTGTTAAATCTCTCTTTAAAAAAACAGGTGTATGGGTGTTTTACAGACATGCTGTGCACCATCTGAGGGCAATGTACACTGAGGTCAGAAGAGGAAATTGGATTCTTCCTGGGACTGAAGTTACAGATGATTGTGAGCAGTCATGTGGGTACAGGAAGTTGAACCTGAGTTCTCTGGGAAGAGCAGCTGGTATTCTTAACTACTTAGGCATTTCTCCAGCCTTACTGTAAATCTTTTTTTTTTTTTTTTTTGGGGTTTTTTGAGACAGGGTTTCTCTGTAGCTTTTTGTTCCTGTCCTGGAACTCCCTTTGTAGACCAGGCTGGCCTTGAACTCACAGAGATCCGCCTGCCTCTGCCTCCCGAATGCTGGGATTAAAGGCGTGCACCACCACCACCTGGCTCTTACTGTAAATCTTTTGTGACTATGTGAACATAAATGCTGACCACACAACAATCACAGATACTAATACTCAAATAAGAGGAATGGACAGCCAAAGGAGTAAAGTTTTGCTTACTAAACTTTGACATTTCCTATGTTACTTAGCTTTGTAGACATCAAAAGTATAGAGCTGGGGATATGGCCTCTATAACCACAGGCCTTGAGTTTGGATCTCCAGAACTTGCATAAAAAGGCCAGGCTCAAGAGTGGGATTACCAGAGCAAGGAGGCAGAGTCAAAGAGACTCCAGAGGTCACGCTGAATTGGTTAGCTACAGGCCCAGTAAAGTGAAAAGTAGTTCAGTAAGATACCCAACAAAGGCCTCTGGCCTCCACAAACATATAATTAAGCAATATCACCCACACAGCTATGTGTACAGACATCCATATACTATACTCACATATCCAAATAAGATAGAAAGCAACTGGAGACACCAGATGCTAATCTCCACGCAAACTCACACAAAAATGTGAGCATATGTATTTGTGCATGCATGCACACACGGTTAGGACAAAGTGTTTCTCTTAAATTCACTCCAAAGCCATTTTTTTTTTTTGTTACTGATATGCATGTGTGTGGGGCAAGCATGTAAGCATGGCCAACTTACCTGAAGAAAGCTGGCTCTCCCTGGGCAGCTGCCAAATAGGGGCTTTGAGAGCCCTAAACTGTTTTGCAGCATCTTCCCACACCAGAGATCTGTGGGTACTACTCAGCACAAATTATGGCTGCCTATGTTGTGTGTATGTAACAGGAGTGAAGGGGGCTTGCTAGCTTATACCCGAAATAATCACACAGAAACTGTATTTATTTACAGTATATGAACACTGAACGATCAGTGAATACTCTCCTTTCCCTACCCTTTAAAACAACAACAACAAAATACTGGTCCAGTATCTCTAGCCTCTTATTGGCTAACTCTTACACATTAACTTAACCCATCTCCATTAATGTGTATCGCCACGTGACTGTGGCTTACCGGCAAGATTTTAACCAGTGTCCATCTCAGACAGGAGAACCATGGTGTCTGCCACTATGCCCTTCTTCCCAGCATTCAGTTCTGTCTTCTCTGCCTACCTAAGTTCTGCCCTATCAAAAGGCCAAGGCAGTTTCTTTATTCAACCAATGAAAGCAACACATAAACAGAAGGACCTCCTACACCATGTGTATGTTTTCTTCTACAGTTTATTTTCCATTAAAGACTGAATAATATACCATTGGAAGCTGAGATTATATCTGACTAGGATCACTGATACCTTCTCACAATCCCACATTTTCTAGTACTTTCAAAGGTTATATATACATAGCCAGCCAATTCCTGTGGGACCAGGTGGGAAAGAAACTTCTGTCTACAACTGCGATTAAAGGTGTGTGTCATTGCTGCCTGACTTGTAAGGTTGGCCAGTGTAGCTGTTTTACTTTTCTCATCTCCATGAAAGCTTCATTTATTAAAATACAAAGATTTCCATTCTTTTGCCCTGCCCAGCCTTATTCTTGCCACATCCTGGGCAAGCCAACTAGTTCTCCAGGTCTGTTTAAATTCTCATCTTGGATCAATACTGCAACTTCAACTTGAACAGGGCCAGAGAAAACCAACTAATTTTCAAAACTGCCATAGTAACAGTGCTCCTCACACCTTTGACCTCAGAACCCCTTTATAGCTGTTAAAACTTATTGAAGACATGCTACTTTGAGAACTGATACAAAAGAATCATGTTTAAAGACAGAAAGACTGCCTCAAAATCACCACTACAGACCCATTTTTAAAAGTGGCTAATTTAGATCACAGCTCCAATAAGTGCATGAATACTCTTCTTCAAGAAAGCTGATGCATTCCAAATAGGGCAGAAATATTCTTAAATAGATGTCTTATTTCTTCACACAGAATAGCACAAAGACTTGTACTGAGTTTAGGAGTTAATAAAGGGTGAGGGAGACACTGGGGTCTAAGCAACACACTATTCAGCTACACTACAAAACTTCAGAATTTCTACCGTATCAAATCCTTCACCAGCCTCCTCCTGATTTAAGAGCCTATTCAACTGATGGACTATGGATCTCCTGCTGCTGATTGTTCCCAGAAGTGATATCCCTGGACTTCTGCCTACTCAGTCAACCTTCCCCACTGAGCTCATATCACGAGGCATCCCCTCCAGTGGTCCAGTCATTTCTGTCTCCACTTTGTGTTACAGATGTCTGTTTCAATCACACCCTCCTCCCAGGCTTGATGTGAGTGCAAGTATACAATCTACTGTTAATGTCTCCACAGGTATACAACCTTGGGTGTCAGCCCTCCCCTTCTACCTGTTCATTTCTGTATGTACCAGGTTAACTGACCTGCCAATTTCTGAAGATTCTCTTGTCTCTACCTTCAAATTTCATCATAGGAAAGCTAGGCACTTACTTGTTACAGATATGGACCAGTCTCCATTTTTAAAAAAAAAAGTTTTTCAAAGGCCACGGATTGGGGGCTGGAGAGATGGCTCAGTGGTTAAGAGCATTGCCTGCTCTTCCAAAGGTCCTGAGTTCAATTCCCAACAACCACATGGTGGCTCACAACCATCTGTAAAAGAGGTCTGGCGCCCTCTTCTGGCCTTCAGGCATACAGACAGAATATTGTATACATAATAAATAAATAAATTAAAAAAAAAAGGCCACGGATTAAGCAACATTCAAAGTAGTCTTTAGTTTGAGGTGATTGAGTTCCAGAATAAATGCAACTCTGTGGCACTAACATCACGCTAGCTTATGATTCCAATTATGACTCACATATACAGTATCAGAGTTTAAAAGAGTCCCAAATATTTGATGTGAACCACACTGGATTTTAGTTCATTGACTGAGAGACAGGGTTCTTTCCAAAAGTAACCATTGCGGGGTACTCCCTTCCATATTACAGCTACTGTCGGACTGCTTTAAATGCTATTCAGTTTAGACGTATTCTCTGTATCTCCACAACTAATCAGTCTAATGTTTTAAACCTTAAACATACTTAAAATTTTTGTTTGAATGTGTGTACAAGCTCATATGCAAGGATGCCAAGGTATATGTGAGTGTCAAGAGGACAATGTGCATGAGTTATTCCCTACTATGTAGTCCAAGGGATCAAACTCAGGCTGCAGAAAAGTCATCTCGTTGGCTTTAAATTATTTTAAATGTTATGTGACCAAACTTATTTTTTTCATATTTGCTTTCTTATTTTTTTAAAATATTTATTTATTACGTATACAATATTCAATCTGTGTGTGTTTGCAGACCAGAAGAGGGCACCAGGCCTCATTACAGATGGTTGTGAGCCACCATGTGGTTGCCGGGAATAGAACTCATGACCTTTGGAAGAGCAGGCAATGCTCTTAACCACTGAGCCATCTCTCCAGCCCCTTTCTTATTTTTTAAAAAATATTTATCCATTTATGGGTATAGATGTTTTGCCTGCAAGTGTATCTGTGTACCAAGTGCATACTTGGTACCCACAGAAGCCAGTAGGTGTCAGATCCCCTGAACTGGAGTTACAATTCTATGAGGGTGCTGGGAATCAAACCTGGGTCCTATGGAAGAATGACATCTGAATCATCTATATCCAGCCCTTCTTGGTTTGTGTTTAAAGCTTAGGAAAAAAGTACATGAAGAATTCAGAAAACCATGGAATACCTCGATATTGTTCTCAATAGTATGATTTAAAAAGCTGAGCCAGAGCTGGGCGATGGTGGCGCATGCCTTTAATCCCAGCACTAGGCAGGCAGAGACAGGCGGATCTCTGTGAGCTCGAGGCCAGCCTGGTCTACAAGAGCTAGTTCCAGGACAGGAACAAAAAGCTACAGAGAAACCCTGTCTTGAAAAATAAAATAAAAAAATAAAAAAATAAATAAACCCACTGTTTTAAGATTTGTTATTTTATGTATGAATATTTTTCTTACATGCTTGTATGTGTACCACATGTATGCCTGGTATTCTCAGAGGTCAAAAGAGGCATTGGATTCCCTTGAACTGGAGTTGTGGGTGGTTGTGAGCAGCAATGTGTGTGCTGGGAACTGAACCTGGGTCTTCTGCAAAGGCAGCTAATGCTCTAACTGTTGAGCCACCTCTTCAAACTCACAGCATCATTTAAAACTGCATTTGATCACTGATTCTTTAGGAATTCATTTTTCATGAATGAGCAATAATTTAAACCAAATGTATTCCAAATAAAGTTCCAACTAGCTTGTACCATCTGCTATAATAATTGTTTCCCTCTCACTGAAGTCACCTTGAAGAGAATTCTAAACTACGACTCCTTTGAAGAAGAAACTTGCAGCATTACTGGCTCAAAAGATTCAGCATTAAAAAACTTTCAACAACCATGTAAAACAATTCTCACTTCATCACCCACCACAGGGTTTTTCCGTGTAGTCCTGGCTGTCCTAGAACTCGTTCTGTACACCAAGTTGGTGAGAGATCTGCCTGCCTCTGCCTTCTGAGTACTGGGATTAAAGGCATGAGCCACCACCACATGACGTTCAATTTCATTATTAATTAAAACTAAACAAATTAAATACACATCCACTCTCAATGTTGGCAGAACCAAAAGATGAGTACCTAGAATTATTAGAACAAAAGATCCAAGCAAAACTGCCCAACTTCCCTCCACAGACTCAACCCACATATGTTCTGCTCTATTTCCCACAGCCTTAACCAGAAAATAAGTTCAACTCGCAATATCTGCTATTTTGATACACTGTTTTTTTTTTGTTGTTGTTTTAAAGAGTAGGGAAAGGAGAGTATTCACTGATCGTTCAGTGTTCATATACTGTAAAGATGAGTACTTTCTCTTATATTTAATAACACACTTTTCTATGAATTATTATTATACTTAAAACCTCTACTATTTCAGCTTGAAAATTGAAATCTCAGCTTTCCTGATATCATTCATTTATTTTCTTATGTCATTTTTATATAGATCAGAGCTATTAGCTCCCTGCAGGTAGGTTCTTATTGTTGATTTTGTGTCCAGGGCTGCAGCAGCCAGGGTGATACAGAACAAATGAACAACTTCTCTGGGATTAAACATAACACAACCCTTTGCAATTGCTTCTATCAATTCTTCTTATCTTTTTTAAAGATTTCTTTATTATGTATATAATATTCTCAGTACTCTGTCTGCATGTATGCCTACAGGCCAGAAGAGGGTACCAGATCTCATTACAGATGGTTGTGAGCCACCATGTGGTTGCTGGGAATTGAACTCAGAACCTTTGGAAGAGCAGGCAGTGCTCTAAACCTCTGAGCCATCTCTCCAGCCCTCTTCCTATCTTCTGTACTAGCTAACAGTATACTTTGACTTAATTCACTAAGTGTGACAGATCGTGGTTAGATCTAGTTTCTATTTATTTATTATGTATACAATGTTCTGTGTGCATATATGCCTGTATGCCAGAAGAGGGCACCAGATCTCATTCCAGATGATTGTGAGCCACCATGTGGTGGCTGGGAATTGAACTCAGGACCTTTGGAAGAGCAGGCAATGCTCTTAACCTCTAAGCCATCTCTCCAGCCCCTAGACCTAGTTTCTAAAAAGATCTTGTAGCTTCTGATGTCTTCTTCTGCAGAAGCGTAGTCTAGTCTATCATAGTGAGGAGAAACAACAAGAGCGAGCACCAACAGCAAGGCCACCCTGGACCACTCTACGAGAGGGCACCAGGATCCTCCTCCCTGCGTCGCTGAACCAGCCAAATCAACGAATACCTGGCTGTTATTCCAAGTCCCAAGTTTTGGAGTGGCTTGTTCAACAGTTAAATACAATAAATGTAACTCACGTGAGCTTCAACATCTATTATGAGGCTGAATAAGGATGCTTAAAGGTATTCCCTACAAGAGAACACTATGCACATTTTTAAAGCTACTGATATGTAAAGATCTTCAAAATACATAAACGAGAAAGTTTTACTTGTGGGATCTTAGAATCCAGAGTTATAAACAACTAGTATTATTATGAATTTTCACATAATCCTATGATATAAATACTATTACCAATCCTATTTTATAGATGAGATAATAAGTAGTTTCAAGTTAGTGTCTGGGCTACAGCTGTGTTCCAGCTGCACACTATTCTACTGTCCTCGGTGCTGTCAAGGCCCATTTCTCCACCTCCCACGCTTTAGAGTCACCTAACAGGTAAACTTCTAGGTTAACTTCCTGGGTTTTGCTGTTATTGTTAGACAGGGTTTCCCAGGCTTCCTTCAGACTTGTTATGTAGCTCAAACTGGCCTCAAAACTTATCCTCCTGCTCGAGCCTTCCATGTTCTGGTATTATAGCTGTATACTACACCACTCGTTTCATTTTCTGTTTTGTTCCTTTTTTAATTGTTGTTGCTGCTTTATTTTTGGAGATAGGGTTTCCCTGTGTAACCCTAGCTGTCCTGGAACTCACTTTGGAGATTAGACTGGTACCAAACTCATATAGATCTGCCTGCCTCTGCCTCATGAGTGCTGAGACTAAAGTGTGAGCCACCATCACCTAGCTAATTTCCTGGGTTTTAATGGCATCAATTCTTGTATGACTTTAAGTTAAGGAAAATAAGATGAAAGAGTCAAGCAATCTGATAGAAACCAAAAGCTTGTAGAGAAAGAGTAAGGGAACAAAGGGTGAGTCTAGGAACAGGTCAACTTATATCTTAATCACCTATCTAAGAGAGTAATTCTGAAAATCCAGTCTAAACGTAATGTGTTAGGGTTAGCAACCAACCAAGCCTGACCACCTAAATTTAATCCTAGAACCCATATGGTGGAAGAAGAGTACCAATTCTTGCAGGTTATCTGTCCTCAACACACAAAAAAATAATAAATGTTTTTAAAAAAGGTAGTATGTCATATGGGTTAAGTTCTAATTTTCAAAATTCACAAATAACAGTATGATTCTACATATATGATTTTGTTATACCCACAGCAAAACACTAAGAGCTATTTGGAACTAGGTCAGGTGGCCTATGAATGTAACCCCAGAAACTGAGAGCTGAGGAAAGAGGGTAACTTTTGAGTTCAAGGTCAGCCTGGGCTATACAGAAAGACCCTGTCATAAACAAGCTCTCCCCACAAAGATATTTTGAGATTCTCATTATTCATTATCTACAATAACAAACTGTACTATATCAGAGATGAAAACAGAGAGTTTCTCCTATAACCAAAGTAAATTATAAGCAATTATTTCTGAACCTTAACTTGGGCCCATCCATGTTGCTAGGGGAAGATAGCACAGTAGGTAGAATGTTTGAGGACCTGATCTCAACCCCAGAATGCACTAATGTCCGGGAGAATAAGCAGATCCTTGGGGCTTCCTAGCCAGCTAGAGACACTGTCAAAAAAAGGTAGACAGTGTCTGAGAAACGATATCTAATGTTGTCCTCCTTATAAGACTAGAGTGCACGAATGCGAACTCACTCACCCCCGTCCCCGTCCCCAGCCCCAGCTGTAAATGGGGAGGGACAGAATAAGAACAAAACTTCAAGAAATCCTAAACTCCCAGCACATAAAATCATTAAAGATAAGTCAGATCTACATACTAACATGAAAAGAACAGACACAATACTATGAACAATGACATTTAAGAAAACAATGTTAGAAATAAAATAGTATCAGCTGATTATAGACATTTTTATGGTTTGTCTTTTACACTTTAGACACTAAGCAGAACCTCTTAATCCAATTACTTTGAAAATTATGTTTCTTGTTTCCTTTTTTTTTTAGCTTTTTAAATAAAGGTTTATTTTTACTTAAAAAAAAAAGAAAACAATGTCAGGAAACAAATTTCACCTTTTAAAAATATTCCTGCAATTTAAAAAAACTATTACAAGAATTTATAAGAGTTTACAATTGTTTAAAAGCAGAAATTTTAGGTAAACTGTGTATGGATATTTTTTGGTCATAAGACAGAAGATGAGCAGTGTTATGCCGGCAAGCTGTGAGCTGCCTTCTCCTTGGCCTGTTCAGATCCTCTCTTCTACGTTGTTCACTTACACCAACCAATTGTGTGTGTGTTTGTGTGTGTGTGAGAGAGAGGGAGGGAGGGAAGGAGGGAGGGAAGAGAGAAAGAGCACTCTAGTAGTTAGTTCTAACAATGTCAACACCATTTGGCATAGAGACTGATATAAAAAACTATCAGGTTCTTTATAAGAGTGATCCACAATCTTATCCAAGGAAACATCTTTCCAGTCCATCACTTTCTATTTAAAGAATTCTAAATAGTTACAAGTTAATTTGCTGAGATTTCAGGTTGGAACCTAATAAGCAAACCTAGAGCTAAGCTTAAGAAAAAAATTATCACAACAATGAGGACACTAAGAGAGAATTACATAGATCTAATGTACATGGGAAGTAGAAAAAGACAAGATCTCCTAAGTAAATTTGAAGCATGGGGACCTTGGGGGATGGCTAAGGGTGGGGGGAGAGGCAGGGAGGGGAGCAGAGAAAAATGTAGAGCTCAATAAAAATCAATTTTAAAAAGGGATTAAAAAAAATAAGTATAAAATAAAATAAAATAACTTCCTGAGATAGCACAATCTCTTATTTCAAGCTCTAAATGGGATCAAATCAAAGACCCAGACTTAAATCCACACACCTATGGACATCTGATTTTTGAGAAAGAAGTCAGAATTATACACTGAAAAAACAAAACATCTTCAACAAATGGTGCTGACCAAACTAGATATCTGCACATAGGAGAATGTAAACAGAAAAACATTATCACTAAAGTCAGACTTACCTTTGGAGTCAGCGTTTGGGAACAGCCTGTTCCACGGCACCTTGTTTTTGTGCGGGAGAGAAAGCAAGTAGTTTCTAGCTTTTAAATTTATAATACAATTCAGATCTTCCTGTGATGGAGATCCAAGAATACCTATCAGACAGAATATTAACTGTTAATTGTCAAGGTAAGAACAAATTACTACTACACCAGCTATAGCACAGAAAGGACTCTGCACTTAATGTCTTCTTACCATGCCTGGTAATCACCCCTCATTACAAGTTTTCACAAAAAGATCTTAATATTTTTAAATTGGAGAATATTAAAACAAAACAAATCATCACCATCAACAACGCAACATCTATAGTGAGTCTCATGTAACCATGCTCAAGAACTTACCCAGGATGTGGTTCAGCTGGTCAAGGTAATGTTTTCCTGGGAAGATAGGCCTATTGGAGAGCATCTCTGCCAGGATGCAACCCACAGACCAAATATCAATGGACTTGGTATAACCCTGTAACAGAAAAAGAAAGAAGACAAAGTAATAGACTGTGGTGTCCATAAGAACACAATGAAATCTTATCTGATAACCATGTGGTAGACCAGAGTCTGAACATCTTTGGGACTCCCATTTCAAAACACACAGACACAGAATAAAACACAGTAATTTGGCTTTCAGAAATGCTGCTGGAGAGGGGTAGTGTACGCCTTTGATCCTAGCACCTGGGAAGCAGCGGCAGGAGGATCTCTGTGAGTTCAAGGCCAGCCTGGTCTACAGAGTGAGCTCCGGGACAGTCAGGACTACACAGAGAAACACTTAAAAAGTAAAAGCAAGGGCTGGAGCATTGCCTGCTCTTCCAAAGGTCCTGAGTTCAATTCCCAGCAACCACATGGTGGCTCACAATCATCTGTAATGAGGTCTGGTGCCCTCTTCTGGACTGCAGGCATACAAGCAGACAGAATACTGAGAATATTGTACACATAATAAATAAATATTAAAAAAAAGTAAAAGCAAATAACACCTCCAACCCCACTCCAAAGAAATTGGGGTAGGGGGTGGGGTAGTAATACTCAGTTTATGTCACTTAACTTGTCTTTATGACGTTATAAATAAACTTATAGGGACACTGCTATATTTTTAGAATAATTTTATCCATTTTATAAAGAATAAAAATATTAATATCAATGAGGCAGAGAAAAGCTCCATCTCTAGTGGTAGTGTTGGCACCAACATTCTCACCTTCTCTAGTGTTTCTTAGGTATAAATTTTCTTTTTAAAGTTGTTAAAAATCATGTAATTGCTTTATTTTATTGTTAACAATAAATAGATGATTCTATAAGGAAAACAAGCTGAATTTCATAGAAAATGTTAGGTACAGAAATAAATGGAAAGAGAAATATATACAACAAAGAGGGAAAAGGAGTCAACCAGTAAAACTGAAGAATGAGTTGATTTGGGAAACTAGAGAACCAGGGACTTGGTCCCTGAAGTAACAAAACAACAGGTAGAATTCTAAGTAATTCTTTCTGAAACTCTTGTAGTTTAAAATACCCATTGCTCTGGGCCAAAGCTAAATAAAGGGAACAATGAAAATCCTAAATAATAACACATACAAATTAAGAAGAATCTGGGTTCCTGAGAGAAATGGCTGTTCCAGGTCTGGGGCAGAGGGTGTATGTAAGACAGTCTAGTCTAGTGCAGCCGATGTCAGAGAACAGCAGGAAACTGTCCAAGGGTGCTGGGGAAAGGTCTACATCCCAGACAGAATAGATTATAACTCAAGAGAATAAATAATAAAGAACACCAAAACACAAAAGGGAAGACAGTTATGTTACCACAAAGGAGAGTAAGAAAAGCATTTGAGAGTTTGATGAAAAGAAAACCTCACAACTCTTTTCCCTCCAATTACTATTAACTGCAGTGTTCTAGAAATGACCCAGAAACTGCTCATGAGCATCACCTGTCATCAGTACAAATAGCTTTGCCTTCTAATATACTGAAGTTAGCATCGTTTCTGTGCATACACATTAAACGCATGACATAGAAGTCAAGTCCTGAGATGGTGCCACATGCTTCACCAATAGCATGGGTTAGAGCGGGTATTTGCTGTGCTAAGATGCCGTGACTGGTTCACAGCCATATTGGGTAGCTCATACCACTGCCTATAATTCAGCCTAAGGATCCAATGCCTTCTGGCATCTTTGGGCACTACATATGTGTACTCATAGACACATAACAACAAAACCAAAAAGCCTACCAGAAAAACCCAACAAACCCAAATGGAAGGAATCTCAACACCCTAAACAACCCTCAAGTTTGCCTACTAGCTTATATTTCTAAGAAAAAAATGCATACATACTTCATTTTTTTCCCCAGTCATGTTTGTTTGTTATTTGTGACAAGGTCCTAATAGCCCAGGCTGGCCTTAAATTTGTGGCAATTCTACCTTTGCTCCTGAGAGCTGGGATTATGTCTGCCTGCTTCTCCCTGCTCCACCCTCCCCATTCCTCCCTTTTCTGTTTTTTTTGAGAGATCTCTATGTAGCCTAGGCTATCCTAAAACTTGCTATGCTGAATCATAGAGATCAGCCTACCCTGCCTCCTAAATGCCAGAAACAAAGGTATGTGCTACCACATATTACCACGGTCCAGATTGCTGGATTTTTATTTCTTGAGACAGGGTTTCTCTGTATAGCCCTGGCTATCCTGGAACTCGCTCTGGAGACCAGATTGAATTTGAGACCATGAACTCAGAGGTTTGCCAGCTTCTGCCTCCTGAGTGTTGTGCTATATCGCCTGACTTCCAAGATCCAGGTTTTGTTAGCAGAGTTTGGAAGACCTGTATCTACTCTTAATAGCAACTCAGTGAAGAGGAGGGAAGGGCTTCATTTTGAAATACAACTATCTACCCTGTAATTTCAAGAGTCCACAGTGGTTCCTATTTTTTCCACACCCAGTAATTTTGCTGAAGAGAAATTCTTCATTATCAGGCAAACTGAAGTTTGTAGGACAAACAGCTCTGGAACATACAAAAATAAGAATTACTAGAACTGTAACAACATAAAAGCAGGTGTGAAAGCAGCTATAGGTAATGCCTCAGTACTGCAGATAAGGGAGGGCACAGACATTTATGGTTATGATGAATGAAGATGGTAAACCTAAGGCCCAAAAGTTAATTCTGAGAAAGACTAAGACAGCATTCTGGCTGTGGCCAGATATAGCAGACTGAAGGATGAAGACCAAGGTTTATAGCTATAGTTTTTTTTCTTACCTTGGAATTCAACATAATTTCTGGAGCTCTGTACCAACGTGTGGCTACATACTCTGTCAAGAACCCTGTGTGATCATGATCCGGATCTGCAACACGGGCAAGGCCAAAGTCACAGATCTAAGGGAGAAAAAAGTGGGATACCTTTTTAGAGACACCAAAGAGTTAATATCAAAACACTACGAAAATAAAAAGACAAGAGCAATGACACGAATAACAAACAAGTGTATGCTACCAATACTATGTTAGACACCTTTCTGGAAAGTACAAGCTCATTATTCTGAAGTGATGACAAGACACATGCTAGAGGTGAGGAAACAGGCTAAATGATAATTTATTAGGTCATAATCTGACATGTTTGGATTTCATCACTGTCAGCTAGTGTGAGTGCATAGCACTCTCACTTAGGTGATCTGAGAAAAGCCACTTTAGGGGGACTAGAGAGATGTGGTGGTTTTTTATTTATTATGTATACAATATTCTGTCTGTGTGTGTGCCTACAGGCCAGAAGAGGGCACCAGACCCCATTACAGATGGTTGTGAGCCACCATGTGGTTGCTGGGAATTGAACTCAGGACCTTTGGAAGAGCAGGCAATGCTCTTAACCTCTGAGCCATCTCTCCAGCCCCGAGATGTGTTTTTCGATAGTGAAAAAACCATAGATTCTCTTGCAGAGTAATATCCACACCAAGTGTCTCACAGTTGCCTATAAATTACAAGGGATCTGATCTGAGACTTTCTTCTGGCCTCCTTGGGTATCCGCATATTACAATGTACAGAAATAAAATCACCAAATCACCAAAACCACCTAGAGTCCCTTTCCTCTCCATGCCACTGTAGCTTACAGAATCACTGATGATTTGCTCCTTAATCTGTCTGCCCTGCCCTACTTCTCAAACTCCTCTATTTCTGGCCTTAAAAAAAATATTTTTTTGCTTGTTTCATTTCCAAAAATTCTTCTCACTTCCTTACTTTTCACATAGTCAATCGTGACAGTTTTTCAGCTTTCATGTACTTAAGAGAAATCATTCGTTCTGATGTTCATTTATGTACTGTATGCATGTGTCATAGGTGGTGGTCAGAGGATGACTTTCACAAGTTGATTCACTCCTATCATGTGAGTCCAGATAGCAAACGCAGGTCATCTGGCTTTATCACTGGGCCATCCTGTTGTTCACCACTGCTCTGTACGTATGGCAACCAGCTTCTCACATGCTGACTCCCAGGAGCACCTCCCAAGGCTCTCATCATCCAGCTGTCTAAACACTGTGATGCTACTTAGGTGGGCTTCCTTACAGACCCCAAAGCATATAAAATGCAAGAATACTCTACTTAGGTCAATATAAATAAAAAGATCTGGACCCCAGGAAACCAATGCAGGAAAGACACAAGTTAACAGATGGGACACAGTACAGTACAAGACTATTTGGAAAACAGATTAATATGGAGGCTTCATTGTATTAAGTCAGCTAAAAAACAAGGGCTGGCACTTAAGTTCAACAGTAAAAGACTGGTTAATGATAACAAATACCTTGTGAAACCCCAAGAAAAGGTGAATGTTCCGTGGCCCATAGCATTTTTAAATTATTCATTTTCAAAACTGGTACTTTTTTTTTTTGAATACTGAACTCACCTGCATTTATTTTCCATGTGTTTATATACCTTGACTCAAAAGGGTCAGGGGGAGAAGGCAAACAAAACTGGTACTTTTTAATAAAAACAATTTGACCAAAATTTTGCCAGAGAATTTTGAGATCCAAGAAAATGAGTTGAGAGAGAGAGGGAGGGAGGGAGGGAGGGAGGGAGGGAGGGAGGGAGGGAGAGAACAAGAAAATCCAAGGGCCAGAACTTTGGCTATAACAAAGGACAACAAAGGAAAAGCAAGTCTAAAAGATATAGGACATAGCAATTTGGACCTCCATCTCTGTTTAGACAGCCCAGAGAGTGTATCAGTAATTGAGAAAGATAAGCAAAGAGCCCCTACCCACTGCACAAATATCTTCCTCTAGATCACTGTGTAGGCCTTTGTTCTCAAAGAGCCTCTTGTTTACTTCAAGTACAACATCCAAGAAGCAGCATATTTATTTTACAGAATGTTATCAAAAGACGTAGACAACTTGCTAACTCTCCTGCAGGCTACTTCTCATGTGGGTTCTCATGAAGGGCAGAGAGTGAGGAACTCCTGTGGGAATTGGGAATTCCACAGGGAATGCCCACTCCAGTCTCTCTACCTGGCATACAAAATCTCCTGTGCCTGAGCCTCCTTTAAAAGACAACTTGCTTGCCAATGAGATTATAACCCTGATGGTGACTGGTTCCCATACAGGCTATCAAAGCACTCTACCAATGAGTTACATTTCTAATCCAGCTGTTATTTTCGCTATTATGTGTCTGTATGAAGATGTGTCTGTGCTATGGTGTGTATATAGAGGTCAGAAGATAACTTTTAGGAGTTGATTATCTCCTTTCACTGTTCAATACAGGGATCAAATTCAGGCTGTCAGGCTTAAGCAGCGCTTTTATCCACCTGAGCCATTTCATCAGCCCCCAGCTATCACTTTCGAGGAAGAATACAATTAAGTTCCAAATTCTGTCTGAATGATCTTGAGGCTTTCATTGTTTCCATTCTATGTGTTTCCTTAAGAGTCTTTTCTACCACTAGGTGTGGCAGAACATGAGTCCTAGCACTTAGGAGGCTCTGTGAATTCAAGTCAGCCCCACTTACATAGTGAGTTCCAGGACAGCCAGAGCAACACAGTGAGATGCAGTCTCAAAAAAAAGTCCTATCAATCAATTCCTTACATGAAGGGTTTCCAGCACGAGGCACTGTGGTAGTTAAGACTCAAACAAAAAAAAGCAATGAATAAATGATTTTTTTCCATGTCTTAGCCACTTTCACTACCAATACATTCATTTCTGAGTGATTTAAACTTTTCAACATGTGTGACTCATAGTGTTTCTCTTTTGCAGAGCTAAATGCTTCATTTTATGATTCACCTTCAAGCAAAGCTCACCACTCAGTCCAGCCACAAACAACCCCTCCTCTTCCTTCCCTCTCTTTTCTTTCAGGACAGGGTTTCTCTGTGTAGCTAGAACTCACTCTGTAGATCAGGCTGGCCTTGAACTCATAAAGATCTGCCTGCCTCTGCCTCTTGAGTGCTGTGATTAAAGGTATGGAACACCATGCCTGGCCACGAAGTTTTCTTAATATCACACTACTGAAGACGAACCAAATCAGCAAAGTAATAAAATAACAACAACAAAATCCAAACAAATCTATCATAGCTACAGATAAAGCCCTAGTAATACTCAGAGTAACTCTATAAAAGAAGCCAGACAACTAGTGCAGCCCAAGAATCATAAAAGGCCCTATAAATTTCAGCATTCCCATCTGACCACCTTTTGAACTATGTAAATGTTCATAAAAACATGTTTCATTTTGTATTTTTCTTTACAGGTGTAACTGCAATCAAACAGGCTATGGAAATGCTTACTGATAACTCTATGAGTTCTGTTTTGCAAACAATGACCATATCTTCCATTTTTTGTCCCACAGAAAATGTGCCAACAGAAGCTGTAAATAGTTTTTAAACCCCTTATGTGTTTCTGTGGACCTGGGAAACAAAGGATCATCATGAAGTTCCACAATGTGGTACTACTTGACGTACTCTAGAGCTTGAGTAGGTGAATCACCTCTCCACTATTGTTAACTCATATGGCATATAAATATACTACCGGACAGCCTATTCAGCATGCATATGCTTGCTGTGGCAAGTAAGAATCTCAGTAGAAAAACTACACTCGTTTTAGGAATGAAATGCTCTCCGTATGAATGATATACTCCAGATACACACCTTAAAAATATGAGTGAAGAGCTAGGCGGTGGTGGCGCACGCCTTTAATCCCAGCACTAGGAAGGCAGAGGCAGGCGGATCTCTGTAAGTTTGAGGCCAGCCTGGTCTACAAGAGCTAGTTCCAGGACAGGAACCAAAAGCTACGGAGAAACCCTGTCTCGAAAATTAAAAAAAAAAAAATATCAGTGAAGCTAGCTAGCTATGGTGGAGCATGCCAATAATAAAAAGCTGAAGAGAATGAGGCAGGAGAATGGAGAGTTTGGGATCGGGCCCAACTATACCTTGCTGGGCGTGGCGGTATAAATCTAAAAGGTTGTCCATATCTCATTTTCAGCCGATCTCTCTTGCTTATCAGTGACTGCCCAATCCCCAGTGCTGCCCCAAACGGAAAAGGATGTAGTACTTTTCTTAACTCATCCATTGCTTTTGACTTTTATTCCTCTGGTCTTCCTGCTTATGACACTCTATGTCCAACAGAGCCCCTCAATAATAAAAGCCAGTTCCATCTTGGAGGGCTAACATGGACATTACCATCTTCCTTTGTAAATAAGTATTATTTTCTATGGCCAGATGCAGCGTATGCTGTTAATTATACAATGTCTGCTAGGTTTCCATCTCTCAGTTTTCCACTTTCAGGGGCAGATATTCAGCATCTTGGCTTGGCCTATCTAACAACATCCTATTTACATAAAAATGTTCATTTAACTGAAAACTCAAGAAATTATTATTCCTACACATCTACATATATTTTAAAAATTTCTTTACTGGGATATTCTACACATAGTTAAAGTATACTATACTATAGTTTTTAATATTACAGCTACAGAGTTATGCAACCTCAAACAATTAACAACATAAAAAAACTTTAATGAATTAGTACTATCTCCCCTAATGCTCTCAACTATAAACTCTATATAGATCTACCACATATTATTCACAATTACCTGGACATTTGGATTGTTTACATTTCTCAGTGACAATGATTACACTACCATGAATACCTATGCACAAGTTTTTGTGTGGACACATTATTTTAATTTTCTAAGGTACATATTAAAAAAAAACTTTTTGTGATGTGAGATGCCCTCCTGTATGCTGTTAATATGTTGCTTTTACTGATTGATGAATAAAGCTGCTTTGGCCTATGGCAAGGCAGAATATAGCTAGGTGGGAAAGCCAAACTGAATACAGGGGGAAAAAAAGGCTGAGTAGAGGGAGACACCAGCAGCTGCTGGAGAAACAAGATGTGAAGTAATAAGTCAAAACTCTAATGATAAAATATAAACTAATAGATGGGTTAATTTAAGTTATAAGAGCTAGTTAATAATAAGCCTGAGCAAACAGGCCAAACAGTATGTAATGAATATTACACCACTGAGAGATTATTTTAAAGCAGCTGTGGGACCAGGCAGGACGAGAAATCTCCAGTTACATCTTTGTGAATGTTCGCTATCATATCTTTCTTCTTCTTTTCTTGCCAGCCTGGAACATGTCATATACACCAGGCGGACCTTAAACTTCCAAAGATCTGTTAGCTTCTGCCTCCTAGTGCTGGGATTTGAGGCATATGTGAACATTCCTGACATTATTGAACACTCAAGATTATATTCATCTCAGCAAGAAGCTGTATAATACCATGAACCTTGCTTTATTTTCTTGATACAAAGGATTAAAAAACAAAAACAATGCACATGACACTATATATAAAATATGTAAGCATACACACTCACGTAAGGGCTACTAACTTGCTACAGTAGCTACTATCTCTGGAAAAGAAGAGTGGGTTAAAGGAACAAGACTGATACTGTGTACTTGTGTTTTTGTTATACAATATTGTGTTTCTGGCAGTTTTGAATATAAATAACAATACCTCAAACACGAGTTGTTTTTAAAAGTATGTGTCATTCTTAAGAGTAATCGACTTGGCTGACCTTGAGATCACAAGTGGTGTTTAACAGGAGGTTGGAAGGCTTGAGGTCACGATGCAGAACGTTAGCTGAATGGATATATTTCAATCCTCTCAGGATCTGATAAAGAAAATAGCAGATATGGTCATTGCTCAGGTGTTGTGTCTTCAAGAGCTTGTAGAGATCTGTCTCCATGAGGTCCTGTACTATATATCTGTTTGACAGGTTAAGGTAAAACATCCAACAGTTGGTCATACTTAAGCAAAGCACCAAAAACAAATTCAACTTCTCTTAATCCTTTTCCCATACAGCAAGGGTCATCAATGGGAAGGAGAAACTGAAGAAAACATGGGTACACTCTCATGGAAGAGAATATACATCATCTCTGCCCTATGTGGGCCTAAACTGAGACTTGAAACAGAATATTGGCCAATCTTGAAGTCTCAACTTCCTTCCTTTCCAAAACTGTCCATTATCAGCCAACTGCCTTCAAAGCTTAAAGAGCGTGGCGGTCAACAAACATCAACATTCATCTCTTTGGCCCAGAAGCAATGTGCAATGACACTTGTTTTCTTTACTTCCTGCACCATTATCTTCACAGACCTAGAAATGACATTGCCTCTGAGTCCAAGTCCAATCTCTGCCCTTCTTCCTTATTGACTACTGTTAAATTCTGATACATATATAAGACTAAGGGAAGCAGTGTGAAAAAGGGGATGATGCTGGATTTTTCTCTTCTTCCTTTGCTGCATAGCTACTACTTAAGCACCCAAAATTTCAACTAAGACATATCATTTCTTCTAAAAATTATACTGTGGTGTGCAGTGGTGCCACCCAGCTCTTGGTGGAGAAAGAGGCAGGCGAATCTCTAAGTTCAGAGCTCCAGGACAGATGAGGCCACACAGAGAAACAGTCTTGAAAAACCCAAAACTTAACCAAACCAAACCTGTCATCTACAAGAGGCTCCATGACAAAAGGTAAACCAAGACTAACAAGTGGTGGCAGCAGGAGGCATTTCACTTAAAATACCACACCACCTGCTAACAGAGCTGTTTAAAAGTGGAAAAATCTGACTGGAGACATGGAGCTGCCATTCCCTAGTGGTGCAGACTACAAGGGGATCTTCTAGAGCAGTCTTGACCTCCAATGTAATACATGTAATGTAATGCAATTACGTGTGTCAGAGTTGATCCGGGCTTAAAAGACCAGGGGGCCCAGTTTACCCATTTTAAAGACAGGAAGTTGAGGCTGAAAGAGGAGCAGACTAGGACTTTCTGGAAGGCACTGATCCAGCAGGTGTATCCACTTCCTCATGTGAATGCTTGCTTGTTTCCATTTTCATGATTATAACAAGCACAACAGGGCTGGAAATAACAACACCTAAGATTTTCCAAAACTAAAATTAAAGAAAATTGTTATAGACTGATACAGAAAACACTGGACTCACCTAAAACATAACTAAAATTAGTTACCAAAAACTGATAAAATGTAGAAAAGAGTAAAATGCTTTAAACACTAAAGTAAGTGCAAACAGATTACAATCTCTCCTCTTAGCATGCTATATGTGTATGGGCAGAGTGATTAAAAGAATGCTTTTAATGCACTCTTCCTTGATTCCAGTTATTTAGTCCACAAAGAGACCAAGCAGCAGCAGCGGCTAATGTTAGAAAAGGATACACATCTTTCATTTGCTCAATGGTTGGTGCCCGGATGATGTCATTGATGCCAATGATATTCTCGTGTCTGAAGCGCAGTAAGATTTTTATCTCTCTTAGGGTTCTCTGGCAGTACGTCTGGTGCTCAAAAGGACTGATTTTCTTGATAGCAACTCGAACTTTGTTGAGATTATCATAGGCAGAGCTAAAAATAAAAATTTAAAAAGGTGCTATGAGTGAGAAGACAGTATTAAAAACAGCTCAAAGAATTTTTTGGCAGAAGGAATACAAACCTGTAAAGTATTAAAGTTTTAACATCTGTACTGGTACTTGAAGGTAAAGAAGGCAGCAGATGCTGATTGACACCTAAGAGCTACTACTCACAAGATGAATGTTCATTTCCATAAACAGGACACAAAACAAAACCCCCAAGACAAACGAACAACAACAACAAAAATCAGCACATTTTCCCATTTTCTTAAATAGCAGATACATTTTGTTAGAACATTTCTGCCTCCAAAACAACTATTGACAGTTGCATTGAATTCCCGGACTCAGCAGAAACATCACATAAAATCAACCAACAGGTTTGCCACTAAAAACCAGATTTGGAAAGCTTAACTGTCTTTGATCAATCTCAACCAAATATTTTTTTTTAAAAAGATTTGTTTATTTTTACTCTGTATATATGGATGCTTGTCTCCTTTATCAACCTCAACCTATTTTTTTCTTAAAAGAATTTTTTTGCTTATTTTTATTTTGTGTATATAGATGCTTGTCTCCATATATGACGGTGCACAAGTATACAGTACCTGAGGAGGCTAGAAAGAGCATTAGACCTTTCTGAAATGGAGTTACAGACAGTTGAGAGCTGCCATCTGGCTACTGGGAATGGAACCTGGAAGTTCTGCAAGAACAGCAAGTACTCTTAACAACCAAGGGATCTCTCTAGCCCAATTATCAACTTATGTGAACAAAACAGGACTATTTTTGTTGTTATTGCTTTCAAGAAACTAAATCATAATACTGGAGTAATTCTGTAACAAAACCTACAAAGTAATCTTCTAAAAAATACTTTCACGGATTCAACGCAATGCCCAGTAAAATCCCAGCAAAATTCTTCAAAGACCTCGAAAGAACCTTCATATGGAAAATCAAAAAAACCCAGGATAGCCAAAAAAACTTCTGGAGGCATCACAATCCCTGACTTCAAACTCTACTACAGAGCTACAGTACTGAAAACAGCCTGGTACTGGCATAAGAACAGACAGGAGGACCAACGGAACCGAATAGAAGGCCCAAATATCAATCCACACATCTTTGAACACCTGATCTTTGATAAAGAAGCAAAAAATATCAAATGAAAAAAAGAAAAAATATTTAACAAGTGGTGCTGGCATAACTGGATATCAACATATAGAAGAAGAATGAAAACAGACCCATATCTATCACCATGCACAAAACTCAAGTCCAAATGGATCAAACACCTCAACATAAAGCCAGCCACACTGAACCTTATAGAAGAGAAAGTGGGAAGTATACTTTAACGCATTGGCACAGGGAACCACTTCCTAAATAGAACCCCAGCAGCACAGACACTGAGAGAAACAATTAATAAATGGGACCTCCTGGAACGGAAAAGCTTCTGTAAAGCAAAGACAGCCTACAGAATGGGAAAAGATCTTCACTAACCCCACATCAGACAGAGGTCTGATCATCAAAATATACAAAGAACTCAAGAAATTGGACACCAAAACATCACATAATCCAAAAAAGATGGAGTACAGACCTAAACAGAGAACTCTCAAGAGAGGAATCTAAAATGGCTGAAAGACACTTAAGGAAATGTTCAACATCCTTAGTCATCAGAGAAATGCAAATCAAAACAACTCTGAGATTCCATCTTACACCTGTAAGAATGGCCAAGATCAAAAACACTGATGACAACTTATGCTAGAGAGCTTGTGGGGAAAAGGGAACACTTCTGCGTTGCTGGTGGGAATGCAAATTGGTACAGCCGTTTTAGGTATCAGTATGGCGATTTTTCAAAAATTAGGAAACAGCCTTCCTTAAGACCCACAATACCACTTTTGGGTATATACCCAAAGGAGGCTCAATCGTACCACAAAGACATGTGCTCAACTATGTTCATAGCAACTTTGTTTGTCATAGCCAGAGCCTGGAAACAACCTAAATGCCCCTCGATTGAAGAATGGATAAGAAAAATGTGGTACATTTACACAATGGAGTACTACACAGCAGAAAAAAATAACGATAGCTTGAATTTTGCAGGAAAATGGATGGAGCTAGATAACATTATTTTGAGTGAGGTAGCACAGACACAGAAAGACAATTATCACATGTACTCACTCATAGGTGGTTTTTAAACATAAAGAAAACCAGCCTACAAATCACAATCCCAGAGACCCTAGACAAAAATGAGGACTCTAAGAGACGTACATGGATCTAATCTATATGGGAAGTAGAAAAAGAGAAGATCTCTTGAGTAAATTGGGAGCATGGGGACCTTGGGGGAGGACAGAAGGGGGGTAGGGGAGAGGCAGGGAGGGGAGCAGAGAAAAATGTAGAGCTCAATAAATATCAATAAAAAAATGTAAAACAAAACAAAACTACTTTCACAGCCATGATAGGACTTTAGTTTTTCCCAAGCTATCCTAAAGACACAACTAAATATTCTGAACAGAAGCAATAAATATTTCACTTTCAATTTCAGGATGGTTCAAATTTTTCAATATTACTATTATCTTTTTGGGGGGGCAGTCATTTACTTAAATATTTTCTACAAAGGCATTTTATATTAATAAATGTCAACATCTGGCCACTGACTATGGCAATGAAATATTTTGTTTCCTCATTAAGTACTAGAACCATAACACAGTAAAAAGTTTATTATTCTAAAGTTCATGCTTCTAAAATGGTATTTATTTTTATTGATACCTCTGTTGAGTCCACCCGAAGATGATGCTTTAGGAGTAACCTTGGTGGTGGTTGCAATCATCTCACGATGCCATTAACACGCTGTATTGCCCCCAAATACTTTGAAATGAAATACAATTCTTAAACAGAATTAAGTATTTAAATGTTATTTTCCTTGGTTTGTACAGTAGGGCCCAAAGCAGTGGTTTTCAGGGAGGCAGGCAAAAGGATGTACAGTTTAGGCAAGTCTATCTATACTCGGGCCTACTTTAGGTTGTTGGTGGTGGTGCACACCTTACTGGGGAGGCATAGGCAGGTGGATCTCTGAGTTCAAGGCCACCCTGGTCTATAAAGTTCCAGGACGACAAGAGAAACTCTGTCTCAAAAACAAACAAACAAAAATAAATAAAAGAAATAAATACTCTCTTTGGTAATCATAACAAAGAAAAAACACCATTAAAACAGTTAACAAGGGGGCTGGAGAGATGGCTCAGTGGTTAAGAGCACTGACTGCTCTTCCAGAGGACCTGGGTTCAGTTCCCAGCACCCACATGGCAGCTCACAACTGTCTGAAGATCCAGTTGCAGGGGATCTGACACCTTCACACCAATGCATATAAAATAAAGTTAAATAGACCATAAAAATTTTTAAAAAAACCCCACAGTTAACTAATGTTTGGGATTGTCAGCTCAGTGCCAGAAAGCTGCCTGGTAGCATCATAAAGCTGCGGTATTTGATCCTTCAGCACGGCAAAAATTAAATTAAAAAAAAGTTGTAAAATACTGGTCAAAAACTCAACATTACAAATTCTTAGTTTTCACGGAACACCATAGTCAAATCTGGCCTGATTTACAGAATTATAATCTACCAGGATTGGCTTTTATGTTGTTTGTTCGCATATTTATTTATATTTACTAATTTATTAATGTTTGTTTGTTTTGAGGCGGGGTTTCTCTGTGTAGCCCTGACTGTTCTGGAACTCGCTCTGTAGACCACACTCAAACTCAAAGATCTGCTTCCTGAGTACTGGGATTAAAGGCATGTGCCACCACTGCCGAGCTATTTATTTACTTTTAAAGCAGGGTCTTTCTAGCCCTGGCTGTTCTAGAACTCAGATCTGCCTGCCCCTGCCTACCTGAGTGCTGGGATCAAAGGTGTGGCCAGCACAATGGGTTTGTTTAATGGGGCTGTTTAGGAGTCAAGCATCAGTGCAGCTTTCTACTATATCACCTGTCTTGGTGGTGAAATAAAACGATTTTTTTTGTTTGAAGGTTTGACACCATCCTCTTCCAGCTTCACATAAAAAGGAAGCCATGATCCTGTTCATATAGTGTGGCCTGCTCTTGTCTGCACAGATACACATGCAGGAAAAGGCTCATTTATATAAAGTAAAATTTTTAAAAGAAAGGGGAAAGTGAGCTACAGTATCTGTCCTGATGGCACATGCCTATAATCTCAGTACTAAGGAGGCAGAGGTAGGTGGATCTCTGAGTTCAAGACCAGCCTGGTCTATATAGGAAGTTCCAGATCAGCTAAAGTCATGTAGTAAATGACTCTGCCTGGGTGAGTGGATAAGAGTTCACACTGTTGTTCCAGGAGGCCCAAGTTCAGTACACAGCATCACTTCTGGATTGGATTTGAAGTCTGCTCTACAGGAGAGCTGTGTGTGTCTGGTACTAAAAGTCCACGGCCAGGGAAGCCATGGGTCCTTGAGGAGAATCTACTAATGCTGTTTTGCTAACTGGACATGCTGTCAAATTGCCTTCTAAATATATCTATACCCGTAAGTTTCTTTTAAAGGGTCTTTTAAAAAAAACTTTACTTAAATTTATTTTAATTTAAATTTAAATTCATGTGCATTCGTGTGAAGGTGTCAGATCCCCTGGAACTGGAGTTACAGACAACTGTGAGCTGTCATGTGGGTGCTGGGAATTCAACCAGGGTCCTCTAGAAGAACAACTAGTGCTCTGAGCCATTGAGCCATCCCTAAACCCATTAATTTCAATGCTTTCTCAATCTTGGTCAGAGAAACTTTCTGCAGTGGGCAGCAGTCAATGCAGAGACTTGAAAATGGTCAAAGTGCTGGGAACAAGTGACTGCTGAAATGTTCAGTCCTAAACTGCACATCTGTATCATGTCCCCATACCCCGGTCTCAGGAAATTTCATGGGAGATGGGGGAAAGAATGTAAGAGTTGGAGGATAGAGAGGAATGATATGAAACTCTGCATTATGATCACACCAGCATGAATGAGAGAAGCGTTCATGAC